GGCCATTGTTAAAGTGGATATTACAAGTACCATCTATTGGGTTTTTTTTTCCTCATTTCTCAGGAAATCTGATAACAAACTGATAAGAAACTTAAAAAGATAACGAAGAGTATATTTTGGCTTATACTGTAAGAACGGACACAGCTCACCTGGGTGGGGAAGCATGGGTAACTATTTACACAGCTCACCAATCAGAAAGCAGGCTGTGAAAGGAGCAGAGGAAGATCCATTAGATAAGACATTGGGATGACACAGTCTCTGGACCTCCTGAAGCAGGCACTCACCTCTCCTGCAGTTTTCTCTCTCTCTCTCTGACCACAAATAAATCCTTTCCTTACAGGTTCATCCACAATGTTGTCACTGGGACAGACTGTCAAGCCCATAATGACTCCCAGGATAAGCACAGGCCCAAGCCTAACCCCAGCTTTTTGGGATCACCCCTTCATATTAACCCAAGGGACTGGGTCAATTTTAAAGCCCTTCTATAGGAAAAAAAGACCACCTGAAGCTGTTTAGACAAGGCATTATCAAGTCAAATCTCTAATGGCAATCAAGCTACGAGGGCCATTGCCATTTATAAGATGGCAGCATCTTGTTCCCAGAGGACACTGAGTTCTAAAGTGGTGAGAAAGAAGAGACAAGTCAAGGGTGGACATTTTGGTCTTCTGTCTTTCCTACTCAATTATTTGCCTATCTTATAGAATAAACTTACCTATCCTCTAGACAACCACCTGAAACCCCATTACACCATGGGTTCATCTGGTCTCCTATGCTTTACTACCCTGAGCCTCTTGGAGATTTTCTTGTACTCTGTGATGCAAATCAGAAGAAATCTACCGTACTATGAATAGCTCTCTCACCTTTATGGATTCTATTACAGAAATTTCATATATTGCTTCTTTTATCCCCTTGATGTCTGACATACCCAACCCACTTTAGGAAATTCATCCTAACCCTGTTCCTCCAAGGACACAGACCTCAGACACTTTTCTTGGACCAAGGTTAAACTTTTCTAAAAGTTACAACCCACATTTTACTCTAGTTGCAAAGGCTGCCTACCTGCTCTCAGGGCAATGCTGACAATATCACTGGACTCTCCACTGAATCTTGGTGCCTTAACTTCCTGACGACTACTGCCACACTCCTTACCTGTACTGTTAAAATCCCATTATTGTGTCACTTTTAACTATTGGACATCATGTTGAACCTGTTTCTGCCTGAAACAGCCACCTTATCTTACAATCTTATCCAAGAGGCTTTTGATCTCTTCACATAAGACAACTCAACCTTCATGGAGGACTAGATTTAAACGCTCTTCCGTCCTAACTGAACTGGTGCTGCCTATGCAGCCATTCGATTAAAGACTCAATTATTTCCCTTCCCAATGGACCCCTAACCTTGCTGCACTTATCACCCTTCCAGAACTCTCGTGGACAAATGTAAGCATAAATTCAGCTTCCTGTATCTCCTCATTCAGCACATGAGAGCACACCTTGGTCAGATGTTGGCCATTTAGGCCAGGATCCCATCTGTATTAAAGCCATTAGTCAGAAGGAAATGTCTGCTTTCATGGGGACCCCATCATCATGCAAATTCACTCACTTGTTAGGGAAGACAAAATGGAACATCTCGTTCTCTAACATACCCACTTCAAGACAAAGTACAGGTCTCAAAGATGGCTTTACTTTCATCACCCCTCAGAAAGTTCTAAACAAATTCTCAATTTGTAGGGCTGAGGAAATGGCTCATTTGGTAAAGTGTTTGTCACACAAACATAAGGACAAGAGATTGGATCCCCAGGACTAAGGAAAATGCCAGGCACGGTGCACATACCTCAAATCCCAGTGGTGGGGAGGTAGAGACTATAAGATGCCGGGGCTTGCTGCGCTGCTAGTCAGGCTGAATGGGTGAACTCCTTGTTCAGTGAAAGATCCTGTCTCAATTAGTAGGTGGAGGGGGTTATACACATGGCTCAGCCAATAAAGGCACATGTCTGGCAGACCCAGCAAGCTTATCTCAATCCACAGAACCAACATAAAGGTTGAAGGAGAGAACTGACTCCACAAAGTTTTCCTTTCTCACACATGCCTCATGGCAAATGTGAGCCCCTGCACACACATCAAATACACACACAATCACAATACAAAGCTAATTTTTTTTTTTTGTCTTTTTGAGATAAGGTCTCCCTGTAGCCCCTGCTGACCTGAACTCACTATGTAGACCAGGCTGGCCTCGAACTCACAGAGCTCTGCCTGCCTCTGCTTCCTGAGTGCTGGAATTAAAGGTGTGCGCCACCACAGCTAAAGCTAAAACTTTTTTTTTTTTGGTATGAATACTATGGGAGTAACCAACTACTCTTTTATTGGATTTAAGGTTCACTTCACAGAATGGAGCCCATACCCAACATTGATATTAGGCCTAGGAACCTAAGATTAGACAGCTTACCAGGTATAGGGAAGAGCCCAATATCAGTTTTCTGATAAAGAGTTATAGTATTAAACTCACTCCTAATGACTTATTTTATATCCATAAATGAATGCATCTCTCACTTCTCACCAGAGAAGTTTCCTTATTCAGCAGATGGCGATTAAAAAAGAAACCCACAACTGGGCAATGCGCCGAAACAAGAGGCTGAATAGTGCTTATTCTTGAATAGATGACTAGATCAAACTTCTGCCTCCCAAGGCTCAGGGATCACTGGAGAAGAGGAAGCAGAAAGACTTTAAGAGCCAGAGGTGGTGGGGATGACCACAGTAAATAATCTTCCAGACTGCTGATCAGTTACTCATAAGAACTTGCAGCAATGGTGACAGCATGCACAAGTCTCATGCAAGCTCACACTAGACAAAATCCCAGGGTAGGCATGGAGAACTATACTACCTGAGGAACTATTGGCAACCAATGGTTGCTGGCAAGGGAAGTCAGTCTCTTTAACGGATGTGACTCTTGGTAGGTTAACCAGGCTCTACTGGATGGACCCACATTAAAGGTCATTTGGGGACAAAAATTAGACTCTACAAGCCTCAATTATATATGAGTACATTAAACTTGGCAGGGACAATAGGGGGAGGTGGGCATAGAGGAGTGGATCTAAATACCCTTAAATTATATTGTATGAAAGCGCAAAAATTAAAAGAAGAAAATCACTTCAAAAAAACAAAAAACTATGTGTATTGCTCTCATAAATGACTTGAGTTCAATTCAGTAGCCACATTGAGCCACTTACAACAACGTGTTCAATTCAGTAGCCACACTGAGCCACTTACAACAACGTGTTCAATTCAGTAGCCACACTGAGCCACCTACAATAATGTGTGGAAATCAGGCAGTCCGGAGACCAAGCATTTGCTCAGAGGGTTGGAACAGTCACTTCATTTTTGCTCGTGGACCTCAAACAGCTAATTCTCTAAGGTTCTGGGATTCAAGCCACAGAAATGCAGTTTTTAAGTTCTCCCAAGTCATATCTTAACTGCTACAACACAGGTAGATTCCAGTTACATTCTACTTGACTACTAGCAAGGCCAGAGAAATTCCTTCTGCACCTGTGTTTACACAGATTAAGGTCATGAGTTCAAACACTCCCTACACCAAAATTCATTACTGGCACCTTGGAGGCAGGATACTTACAAATAGGTGTCCTACCAGAAAACGATGGCATTCATTTCTCCAGTCTTTGGTATTCTTTTTATAAAGCGTTCATAAAACTATTATAAGGTGAGCACTATGCCCTAAGGCATAAAATGAGCCATTAACCGGTAAAAACAGTATCAGATACACATAAAAGGAACCATAAATGCATGGGTGCATTTATTTTCCTCTTTAACTCAGCTCTGAGGGGATCACATCCTCTAACCGCCTTGGGCACCTAAAATCAAGTACACACACATACACACACACACACATACACACACACACACATTTGAAAAAGTAATGTAACTCTTAAAAAAGAAAAACCTGGTGAGGACCTTCATTTAGATGAGGTTAAGTGAGATAGAAAGAGATAGCCACACTTGAGAGAGGGAGAATAGGGGAGGCCAGAGGGACTCTTTAAAGAAAATCCACAGAGCAATCCTTAGAGGAGCTCCACAGAACAATCTCCAGAGCTATCCAAGAACAAAGGAAGTAGCAGACATTTCTAAGTCCCCAGGTGGGCCTGAAGTTTCACATCACCTGATTTAGTTCAGTATAACTTACATTACAGAAAGCATGCAGGAGACAGGTTCCATAATTTAAGGGCTGTCAAGTCACAGCACAGACTGCGTGTTAACTGTGTCCATAGAGAGCAGCAGGGAGCTGCAGCAGTCAAGCTTTATTTCAGCAGGAGAGAAAGCAAACGTGGAAAGGAAGGACGCACTGCGGAGTGGAGGGCGCACAGAGCCGAGGGGGCTGCGAGGGGCTTCCTCTACTGTGCGGACTGTGAGTCCTGGGCCACATCTCTCCTCCCTGCCCACCCCTGGGTCCACAGTGGTCCCTTCCTGGAGCAGTCAGAGGTTTATTTTGAAGAACTTTTAACCCAAAATTAGGTGTTAAATTAGATGCAAGGGTATGAAGAGAGCTCTCAATGTCCATATAGATAAAGTTGCTAGGGGAAACGGAAAAGGTGTCTGCACTTGTTCCTCAGGGAGGATCTTCATAGGGATCACAGAACCTGCCCAACTGGCTGCTGTCTTCCCACCCCGTCCTTCCTCTTCCCTAACACAGCTTGCCCGCCCTCTTCCTGTCCTTCCCCAGTGTCCCGACCTTGACCAGCAGACTCTACTATTCACTTCCCCTAACACTTGTCCACACAGCACAACAGCACGATCCCGCGCTCCGCACAGTCCCGACACTGAAGCTGCCGCAGCAGGAAACGCCACAGGCGGCCGCGCCGGGAACCTGGTCTCCGGGACCGCACAGGACGCCGTCCGGCTGCCGCCAGCCCGGGGAGGACCCAGAACAGCCCGCTCCGGCGGCTCCAACGGCCGCTGCTCGGGTCTGCACACGGCCGGCCCCGCGCTCACCATGGCCGGGTTCCGGCTTCGCCCGCGCTCTCAACACAGAGCGGCACACGCGGCTCTCTCCCAAGCCTGATAGCAGATTCCGCAGCAAATGGTGGCGGAAAAAGCCCGCCTCCTGCTGCTTGAGGGTACCTCTCATTGAACAGCGTGACCGGAAGCCGGATTGATTTAGGACCACCCACGTTGCCTGATTAAAGAGAAAACTGAAATGTCTTTTGGTATCCATGGCTTCCTCTCCTGGCACAGACCTGGCCCAACTCCCTAGAGATCTGGTTTTCAGCAGAACTTGCTCCTGGCCTGGTAAAGCAGCTACTTAGTAAACCCAGTAGGCACTGCCTGTTCTTCCTCAAGGGACAGGGTCTCTTATATGCAGTCAGTCACACGTTCAATGTTCTTTGTAGCTGTCCCCTTGCCTCAGATCTGGGAAGGCACCCACCCCAACTTAGCTCACATTAATATTGGACTTAGAATTCAGTGGCCTCCAGGGTTCTGGATTTTTCATTCGGGATCGCTAAGCATTGCGTTAGAATCCAGGCCAGCTTCTTAACAACCTCGCCATTCTAAGAGGTCAGATCTCACATCCTGTAGAAGTCAGGCATTCACTCTCTGCACTTTCCCTGGGACACAGTTAAGAAGCTGTCTTGTGCTGTGGTTTCACAAGCTCTAATTCATGTCCTACTGAGTCCCTGGCTCCTCCATGTCCTTGTCACATAGGCTATCCCAGACTAAATCACAAGGTGTGGAACTTCCCTCCAACCCCTGAAAGGTTATAAAACTCAGATATTTCCTTTGTTCTGGGTTTTTTTTCTGGTCTCCTCTTGGCCAACTAATCTCCCTAACATATCTCCTGTCAGTAAACTGTCTCTGACTTCAAGCCATTCCTCTTAATGAAACTCCTTTCCAGGTTCTTTGTTGTTTTTTTGTTTTGTGTTTTGTTTTGTTTTCATTTTGTTGGTGGTGGTGTTTGGATTGGGTTTTTTTTTGTCCGGGGGTATTTTGGTATTTTGTTGTTGTTGTTGTTTTTTAAAGGCTTATGTCACCATGCCCTGCCTTTCCAGATTTTAAAGCTAGGCATCATATTCCCTTTGAGGCTTCATGCCACTGATATACATCGCGCTTTTCATTTTTAATACTGTCCCACCTCATGAGTCGATCATTGTCTGAAGGCCGTTTCTCATAATAAGTTGAATTTCTGAAGAGTAATTTTGTGTTGTTTTCACAAACTAGTAATCACGCCTCTTCTCATTTCAATCTGTATCTACCAGATTGCCCACCCCTTAACACTCAGGCTGTACATTTTAATCCAAAGAAATCACATGACAAGCTAGTGGTACTACACATGTGTAACCCCAGAACTCAGGGGCATAAGCAGCAGGACCAGGATTTCATGATTAGTCATCGCTACATAGTGTGCTTGAGGCCAGCCTGGGTTACATGAGACCCTCTCTCAAGTAAATGAAATGTGTAACACATGCACAATGGGACAAAATTATTAAGGCATCTTAAATGTACATTTTATAAAAAGATTATAATAGTGATCCCTGAAATAGTGAAATGAAAGACATCAGTCAGCAAGAGTTTATTTTTTGAAAAGACAAATGTAATCGATACATCTTAGCTATATGGATTGTAATAATTTTTGGAGACTATGGCAAGGTAGGCCATTAAGAATTAATTAAGGTTAATTAATCTTAATTAGGATTCAGAGTCTGCGTCCTGGCAGCCCTAAGAAGACAGACTCATCCATCCATCCATCCATCCTCAATACATTAATTAAACATACAAAAAATAGTGAAAAACAGAAAAAAGATTTATTCAATGAAGCCACATTGGGCAGCGAAGCAAAGAGGTCCTGTGACCCCCAAGTACCTTTTCTTGGTCCTGAACTGTAGTTTAGGTTTAAATACAGGACAAGAGTATGCATGACTGGGCATGACTGGTCTTGTCAAGGAGTAACCTGATTGAGGTGGGAAGACACATCCTGAATGTGGGTTTCAATATGAGAATATGTGCCAAGCACTAGGGTTTTTCTCTCCCAGCTTCCTAACTGCATTCCTAAAGGCAATGTGACCACATGCCTCATTCTCCTGCTAGCTCATATACAGGCCCCCTCACCACCATGCCTTCCTCACCACAGTAGACTATACTATCAAACTATGACCTAAAATAAATTCTTTCTATAATTTGCTTTGGTCAGTTATTTTGACACAGCAATGAAAAAAATTAACAAAACAGAAAATTGGAACAAATGAGGAGGCTGATAAGCAAAAGAAACCTGAGCAAAAACACTTGATGTAAGCTGATTTATGGCCAGAATGTAGAAGAGTTTGGAGCTGTGCACTACTAAGAAGCCTTAGAATGTTTTATACAGAGCTTAAAGGATCATTTTGTATGGAGTGTCAAAAACCAGAATTCCTGAAGAAATACAGGGAGAGGGGGCCTGGCTCATGAAGTTTCAGGAGGTAATAAGGATTGTCTTAGAAACTAGAATGCAAGCCATTAGTATTATATTCTGGGAAACAATGCAGGTTCATTCTATGTCCCAGAAATTGAGCAGGCCAAATTAAAAAATAATAGACTAATGTTGTAGGACCCCCAGACTGGGGTACCCTACATTCACGGGAGGCCGCACCCCAATATCTCAGTCCTCAAACCAGAAGACGCAATAGCAAGAGGATTTTATTTTGTCTATATAGACGGACTTCAACCTTAATCAAAAGGAGGAAGCCCCGATTTCAGCTTACAAGCTTGCTTTTAAAGATGGAAACCACAAACCACAAGCATTCAGGTCAAGCACAGCAGAAGTGGGAGGGGGGTTTTTTGGGTGTTTTTCCAGCTTGGGCAAGGAAGCATGAAAAGGTCATCTTTTCTTCTCTACAGTTAGAATTATTTTTCCTTTTACTTCCTTGTACAACTTCCCAGAATATTTTTCTTTAGCCTGGGAGACTTAGTTTCAGTTTACTTTAATCTGGGGGGCTTCTAATTTGATTCCATCACACCCAGCTGAGAAGTACAGGGGAAGTGCAGTGCTGAAAGTACCAGAAAAAAAGAAGAGATTTGGGGTGTGGCACTTTGAGGGACATACTTAATTCCAAAGGCGATAAAGGGTACAAGGAACCAGGGAGGGGCTGAGGGACCCTGCAAGAAGAGTCCAGGCATTCACTTCCGTTGACAGATGACCTCACCTCATGTTATGACCCATAATAGGAAAAAAAAAAACTGGCCGTGGCTCTGTGGGACGTTGCTTGCCTTGAGCTTAATGACAGAGCCTTGATGCCAGTTGGAACTATATTTTTTTCCCTTCAAGTGGCCAAACAGGGAAACATGGTGAGAGAAATGAACTTTTCATGAAGGGTGGATTGTGAGGCAGGGGCCCAAATGTAGAACAGAATTAGAGATTCGGAGCGGTTCCTGAAGGGCTGATGAGGGACACACAAGTAAGCCCATCTGGCCTTGAAATCTACGTGTCAGCTGCCAGGCTCCCAACAGAACCATGTCTTTAAATGATTCAATGCTGGCCGGCTCAGACTGGCCTAGAGTCCTATGTCCTCACCTAACTCCAGGCTGTTTACCGCCCACATTTACCATGTGCCTCTGCTCCTTCTCCTAGATAAGTATGCTGTCTGCTTCATAATCCACACAATCGATGTCAAGTTCAATGGGAGCCACGTGGTCGGGAGCCCTTTCAAAGTTCGAGTTGGGGAGCCTGGCCAGGCAGGGAATTCTGCCCTGGTGTCTGCCTATGGTGCAGGGCTTGAAGAGGGCACCACAGGTAAGACAGTGCTGCTTCTCCTGAATACCTGAGCTGCTCTGGGGCAAAGCTGCAGGCATGCACTTTGGCAGGCTTTGGGAGCCCTGGTTGGAACTGTGAATAAATCCAGAGTGAGGGCTGTGTTGTCACACCTCATTACCATTTATTGTGGCCCAGATGTCTTCCTTCCACAAGTTTTTCAGCCCAAGGGGCATTGTTGAATGTTCCTAATGTAGCTATACCTTCGTAATAGGGAGGTGCTGCTGCTAGACACAGCCAACAAGATTCAGTTAGGTTGGGGTTTGTCTGTCTGATGGCCTTATATGCTCCCTGAACTAGATTGAACAGTCGGTATCCTGTGGTTGAAACCTGTAACCTCGGGTAACGGGGGGTCTGTTCTGATAGGATGTTAGTGGGGGAGGCGTTAAGAGAGGGCAAGGCTGGTAGGGGATCTGGGTAACTGGGGATGGGTTTCTGAATAGGTAAAACAGGGTTGGGACCTATAGCTATTGGATAGGAGGAGCTATCTCTTTTAATAGTAAAAAGAAGGCCATCATCAGCCTGTTCCTTATATAGTCTGATTCCCCAAGAATACCCCTTGTCCCATCCTGTAGCCTTTTTGCCTGCTGCTGTGAATGTCATCTGAAGGGGATGGCACCATTTACCTTGACAGTCCTGAGTAGGAGTATTTGGGTTCTTATGAGAATAATTTGCTTTTACAATGATGTAATCCCAAGATGAGGATGGAGACCACCAGGTGTCCCCGGTTGTTTCACATCCCCAATTTTTACAGTAAAAGTAGTCCCTCTCCCCACATTTAGAATTAAGCCACTTATCTTGATGGTTACCTGGACAGACATAGAAGGTTAAGGTACAGAGCATGGCTCATCTTTGCCCTGATCCACATCCATAAGGAGAGCTCCCCATAGTATTAGGCATCCCCCTTCCAGGGGGTGGGTTTTCAGAAGCATTTATGGGGTTAAGCCACTCTCCTGCATCCCAGGGCTTTGGTGCTCCTATAGCCAATTTAAATCTGGATACAAGTGCCCTTGGGTGCCATCTTGTGGGTTTCAAATATTACAACACCCATTTGATTAATTACCCACCAGGTAGTCAGCACAGGGAGATGGGGATTTCCATGACTGGGGACAAGCCTATAAACAAATAGAATTATTAGGTATCTCTGGAGAGTCTTATTTTTAGAGGGTTTGATGTCTTGTGCAGATGCCATTTTCCAGTGTCCTCCTGGGTCGGAGCTCTCTTGACGTGGGAAACGTGGATCCAAGCCAAAATCCCGCCTACTTTGGGGGCCGTTGGCGTAGTCAGGAGAACCGTGTAGAGTCCTTTCCACTGTGGT